AAATGGGGAAAGGGGAGGGGGAGGGAAGAAAGGAGGAAGGGAAAGAGGGAGGGAGAGAGGAAGGACAGATGACCAGTTATTGGTTACAATAACTTTTCAAAGCAAACATCAAAGATGCAAAGCTACACTTTTATGAAGGAGGTTGGCTAGCAGGACTGGTGAGAGGGCAGTGACAGGCAAGCTGAAGTACCATCCCACCATGTCCAAGGTGAGCTGAACCACCGGAGAGTCTGAAGGAGACTTAGGCAGGAGCTAGGTAATGCAAGAGCCCACTTCGTCTCCTAGAGAGACATGAGTTAGGATGACAGAGGACAGGGTGTGTGTGTCTCAGGAACAAGGCAGGGGAGTGTGTAATTGGCAGCAAACATGATATGGTGCCATGAACATTTCTACAATGGTGCTGCAAAGTCCAAGGAAGTCATGGTCTGTGCAGAATTAGTGTCCTCAAAAAAGAAGGGCTTCTATGGAGAAAATATGGACCATAGACAAGTGTGGAGAAGACATTTCCAGATACATGAAAATTGAGCTAATATATTCAATACAGTGTCAAGATCTAAAAATGAGTTCTTCCAGAGATTTTTATTTACTTATAAATTCTATTCTCATCTGCTTCAAAAAGGGATTTGGGAGGATTCCTCAAAGACCTATATAAATGGTATCCTCATCACCACACACATCCTCCTCGACAGATCCCTAAAGAGGGTTCCCAAGGCGAGTCTCAATCCCCACTGGGGACCTCTCTCAAGTGAGTCACTAGAGGACAAATATACATTTCATGGTATGGATTATACCACTAATCACTACAGCACGAATCAAAATTCGGTCTAATATATATATATATTTTTAAATATATCTTTATTGATTTCAGAGAGAGGAAAGGAGAGGGGGAGAGAGAGAGAGAAACATCAATGATGAGTCACTGATTGAGCCCGCAACCCGGGCATGTGCCCTGACAGGGAATCGAACCCCGATCACCTGGATCCTAGGTCGACGCTCAACCGCTGAGCCACGCCCGGCCGGGCCAGTCTAATATTCTTTATATCATTAGGATTCTTTATCTTTGCAAATGTAACATAGAGGAGTCAAGTGACCATTACAGCAGAAGGGAGACAAAAGCACCTGAACTGGGAGTGATCCCAGATAAGACAGGCATAATGTGAAGCTCCTCAATGCAGAGGAGCAGCCAAATGATAAATACTATTCCTTGACTTAGTGTACTCAGATCTCATGCAAACAGAAAACAAAGTGAACATGAACTTGGTTAAACAGAATTTGAATTTGCTCCCAGGCTTTCAAACAAACAAACAAAACAGGTAAGAATGGTTTCTAAGATGTAAGGGAAACAATACCAAAACCGATCATTTTAAAGAGAGTAAACAGCTATAAAAAAAAACAAAAACCCAAAATAACAAAAATCAAAAAACAGTCACACCATTGCAGTTAAGCAGACAAAATATAGGATAAGTGGTTATTGGTAATTTATGGATGCACTCACAGACCTAAAAAGTACCAGGTCTTGAGCTTTCAAAATTCTATTACATTAAGAATCATTGTTCTACATGGAGATAAAAATTGGGGGAAAAGAAGAGAAACTTATATTCAAAAATCTTCATAGTAAGACTTATTGTTTTTTATTTCTCTTCTAATAGTAGATGAGAGAGACTATTTCCTATCTCCCATAGTTTAAGCAACACTGGATGACAAAGCCAGCTTCTTGGGAGAGGAAGGAAGACGAGGAGCCCATGACAAGCACACTGCCCTCCTGTAAACGCAGCGAACAGAATCAGGGAACGGCAGTTCTGGAGAGGGAAGCTGATTGCATGGTCCAATCCCTTGTGACAATCCCTGCCCCCCGGAAATAGAGGCTGTTTTTATTTTGTTTTTAAAGATTATGCTGCAAAAATTACATCTTAAAAAACACTAATTTTAATCACTATCTTCCAAACTGACTTTACTATTTCCACATTCTTACTCTTATGAAAAAAATAACTTCTCAAATCAAAACTTAAAGACAAGAGCAACAAATACAAGACCCTTCCATAGGGCCAGACCTATTTGGTTGAGTTGCGAAGATGGTCCTAGGTATCTTCCCACCCATCTGTGTTTGGTATCTTCTCCCTCTAGAAATCCCCTTGCCCTAACCTATCCTTCCCCAGGGATCACAGAATCTTCTGGGTACCATTTGCAAAGAATTTTCTAGCTCATGAGGCTAGAATCCTTCTTAGCCGCTAACCCATGCTAACTTTCCCAGGGAACACATAGGTTTCCATAATCTACTTGTTAAAGATAAGAAAATCTTTAAGACCCACACGACTCTTAAATTGTGGTTCTGAATCATGTAATAAGCATAAGGAAGATATTTTTGAATAAAGAGGGCTTTCCTTCTTTTCTCTAATTGCATCACTTAAGCACCCACCTCCTCCACCTACTTGTAAGACCAATACTGCATCTGTGTTTCCTTAAAAGGGAATATTTACCTATTAGATAAAGTACTGCTTTCCACGTGGTAAGGTTTTCTTTTTGCTGACCTTGAAGGCGAGCGATCCAAAAGTCTCTGGGTTTGAAATGCAGGGTGATTCAAACACTGTTCTGTCAAGTATCTTTCAGCAGGGTCCAACTTCAGTAAATTCTTATGAAATAAAGTTAGGATTGGAAAGAAAATTACAACATGAAATTTAATGTCTTAAAAACCTTATCTCTTTTCTTATAAAAGAAATGCATGGTCATTGCAGAATATCTAGCAAATACAGTTTAGTCCAAAAAGTGTTTTTTTTAAGGGACTATCTAAATCACCCATAATCTTACCATTGTTGTTGTCTGTAGATTTGCCCTCCAGCCCCTTTTTAAGTATCACATATATTTTCTTTTACAAAATCTGGCTCAGATTGTACACTTAAGTTTTGTATCCTGCACTTTTCATTCACTAATCAAAACATTATTTACATCATCATTTTAACATTTTAAATATTTTTGGAATAAGTATATAATCACATGAGAGAATACACATTCTTCATCTTTCTCCGGTCCCCCTCCATGGAGGCAGCCCACGTTACCAGTTTCTTGTGCATCCGTACATATCTCTATCTGCTCTGTGCATGTCTCTATCTGCTCCTTTTATTTTACCCAAATAGCATACACACAATGGTCTGCACTTAGTTTTCTTTCAACTGGACATTAGATCTTACAAGATCATTTCATATCAGTAAAGAGCTTCAACTCTATGGATGTACTTTCGGGTGTTTTTAGCAATTCCCTAATGATAAACATTTCAGTTTCCCTTCTTTTATTAGTATGAGCAATATTGCAACAAAAAACTTTATGACATGCTCTTAAATGACTATATAGAAGTTTGTGGTACGCATATAGCACAATTAATTAACCATGCTCCCACTGTTGGACACTTACATGGCTGTCACTTTTCACAGTTATAATTAATACTGTGATGAACACCTGAAATCTTTGCATATATCCACGATCCCTTTCAAAGGATAAACTAGAGATGGAACCGGTAGGTATGCAAACTTTTAAAGATTATTTTCTATGTGTTGCCAAATTACTCCCTAGGAAGTTTGTCTCAAACGATACTCCTCTCAGCAACTGAGAGTCTACCAATTTTCTGGCACCCACATCAACAGGCAGTATTGCTCTTTTTAGTACTTGTAAATTAGATATTTTAAAAATAGCATCTCATAGCTCTTTTATTTTATTTTTTAATTTAATTTTATTTTACTTTTAATATATCTTTATTGATTTCAGAGAGAGGAAAGGAGAGGGAGAGAGAGAGACAGAAACATCAATGATGAGAGAGTCATTGATCAAGCCCGAAACCGGGCATTCTCATAGCTATTTTAATTCATATCTTTGATGACTAGTGAGGTTGAATACTTTTATGTTTATTAGTTACTTATATCCTTTCTTTTCTTATTTTTCTGTGTATCTATTCTAATTTATGTGTTCTTTATTCTTTAAGGTACTAACCCTTTTACTTTGCACATATTCATTTCTTTTACAAATAAAATGTTCTCCTCTGATAATATTTATCTTAGTAATTGGACAAGATTTTAAAAGGTGAGTCATTATTAAAACTAGTTGGTTTTATTGATGAATTAAATAAATATATATAAAAACATAACCTACATAACCTAACACAACTCAATAGAGCACAGTGAACTTTGCTCTGAGTGACGGGCATTGTCCTTCAGAGAAAGGAAAAAGGGTAAAGTTCCAGCATTCCCAAATCCATCTCTAGATCCCTTTCATTGGTTTTGCCAACAGTAATCTCTTTGTGATCCACTCTCGAACACTGAGAGTAAATCTAGATTTGCTCCCAATAAGCCAGAATTCAATTTTAGACAACCACCTTTAACCTAGCATCACAGAAAGTTTGAGATGTGATCCTATCATATACTGAAACCTTCACTTTGGGCCAGAATCTGGAAACCCAAGCCATTGCTTACATGCAAGTGGATTTACATTCATGTTGACCCAGATACAACTCTAAAATTATCTCAATTCTTTCTTCTTCCTTATTAGAAAACAAAAACTGTAGAGGTATATAAGATGATTGTGGTCTCACTGGCAGTTAAAACAGTGAACATCAAAATGGTTTCAACGGCAGGATACTAATTAAAACAAAGGAAAGTCAGCCTCTGAGTAGTATTTTAAATTAGAAATACATTGAGATCTTTCAGAAGCCAAATATCTACTGGCATGAAGGTGCTGCTTTAATTTAAGATTATAAACAGTAGAAATTACTACATACATGCAAAGAACTATTTTTATATTTATGAATATAGCTGTTAATTTCCAAATTACCTGGAAGGATGAGGTCATTATGAGGAAAGCATAAAACAACATAATTTTTAAAAAACTAAAATAGAACCCATATAATTATGTAGCTATTCTTTAAGTTATCAGGGGCTTGGGTTAATTCTGGAGACTTGTATCCCCGCTAAAATGGCTGACATGTATAAACAGATGCAGAATGGCATGGCCACTTTAGGGACTTATATATGGGCAAAATTATCAAATCTACTTTAGGGAAAAGGCACAGAGAATACATTTCTCATGAAAAGGTAGATGGTAATGTTTATGTTTCAAATTCATTTTCAAAAATAATTAAAAGACAAAAGGAATAATTCTATTTATATTACTATTCAATAATAACAAGGCAATATTAATCTTTGGTGATAGAAATCACAATTGTGGTTTCCAGGAGTAGGGAGGGGTGGAGTGTAAAGTCTGAGAGAGGGTCATGAGGGGGTTTCTGGTATGTCAATAATTTTCTGTATCTCAATTTGGGTGGGGTTACACAGATATGCTTACGTTACAAAAATTAACTGAGATGTACACATAATTTGTATACCTTAGGAATATATTTTTCAATAAAATGGTTCTTTAATGTTCAGGAAATTCAAGGGTAAATATATTAAATAAATAGGAATCAGATTGTTTAACTCCCAAACTGATATAATTGCAGAGATTCAGGTTATCATTGTACTTTTATCTGTGCTAGATTTTACCAGGTACCATACACTGATGCTTGGTAATTATATTTGGTAATGATTTAACAAGGAAAGTTCAATTATTTTTAACTATAAAAAGACAAAAGGCAGAAAACATGAAATTGCATTTAACTCAGTTCTTCTACTGTATTCTATTACATTTTTAACGTTACCAAATAATTAAGATCCTGATAAATAAATATTGATTGCATGAAAGAACATATTGACAAAACCCAACTGATTTAAGAGATAATTTATGCCTAATTAACTTGAAAGAGCCTTGAGGGTTCTTTTTTTAATAGCATCTCTCAATCTGTGTTCAGAAGAACACTAGTGCTGTGGAGTTTTATTTAAAAATGAAAAAGTATTCGGTATTTAATTAAATTTGGGAGATACTGGGTGAGAGAGAAATGCTTCTTTGCAGTGGGATTTCTGAAAGCCTTTATAGGTTAATGAATATGGTATGTGGCCTTTTCCAAAAGCTACACCCCCTCCTCCACGCTATTTAGTGTTCCTTGGCACAGATTAACATAGTCTAAAGCACAGCAAAGTTCTGAGAGCACTGCTCAGCAATTTCCAACTGTGCTAAGTATGCCTTTAAAGGCTATGCACAGTGTAACCACCTCTGATTTTGATGGTTGTCTGGGCATAAAACAAACGCGATCCATTAACAACTGTTTTTTAAAGGTCTACTATCAGCCCAGCCAGTGTTGCTTAGTGGTTCAATGTCAACCTATGAACCAAGAGGTCACTGGTTCAATTCCCGGTCAGAGTGTGTGCCTGGATTGGTGGGGGGCTTGTGGGGGGCAGGTGATTGATGTTTCTCTTTAATTGATGTTTCTATCTCTCTATCCCTCTCCTTTCCTCTCTCTCTAAAAATAAAAACAAATAGCACTGCTTATGCACTGGCTGGCTGTAATGAAAGCTGGAGAAATATGAAAAAAATAGTTCTCACTCAAGGGGCTGACTGTCTACCAGGGAAGAAAAACATGAATAAGAACTGTGAGAACATTTTCAGTAGTCCAGAGCAGGAAGACCTTCTGGACAGGGGCACCAGCGACAGGAGGAACACTCAGGCCCAGTACAAGCAGTGCTGTCAATTATATGTGTCAAAAGAATAGCCAGAAAGAGCCAAGTCTGGGAGAGAAGAGGCCAAGTTAGAAAAAGAACAGAATTAGGCTCACTGGTAAAATAATCTTATGGGAGGCTTTAAATATCATGTAAAAAATTGAGAATCTTTCTTTCAACATTCATTTAAAGATTTGTTTTAAAACCTTATGCCTGAGCAGCTCTTGAGTGCTAAATCAATTTAATTATTTCTTATTATTTATATTTAGATTGTCATTATTCTGCCCATTTTTGGAATATAATTTAGGTATCTCACAGTCCTGTCTAGATGGGATGTTATAATACCAGATACTGCTGCAATTTTAAATAATTTCCATGCCTTTTAACATGATATAGTCCCCCATTATTCAGCATTATACATCTATTAACAAGATATTTAATTCATAAAAGCAGGCTACGGTCACAATTAAGACACAAGAGAACCCACAAACCAAAAGGCATTTCATACAGACAACACCAACTTGTCCCACCTTCATTAAGTCGAGTAAAACGCTGTTTAAAATTCCAAGGTATCTTCTCTCCAATGACTGAGGATGGTTAACAGCTGGAAACTAGAAGAACATGACACGGGTGTTAGTTAGCACAGGGGAAGGGGATGTGTGTGTACGTACTGTCCTTGCTAGAAAAGCAGTTACTGCCCTAGTGCCAATCAAAGTCACACTGATTTCACATGTTTATTACTTTTGCCATCTATGTATTTGAAGTATGGAGTCATAGAATTGGGTGTTAAATAACAGGAAAACTCACAGGTGAAAGATACTGACAATACTGAAGCACCCACAACAAACCAAAGTATAAAAATTTGAAACTGTATTTATCTAGTATTGTCTGCTTATATAGAGAATTCAGTTATGGTAGTTTATACAGAATTTCCCTGCTTATACAGACAATTCTTGTCTTTTTCACAACAAGATATCATTTACTTCTGAAAATTAGACAAGTAAAAAAAGAGAAAAAGAGAGGCCAGTTCCTCAAAGGCCACAGAAGTAGAAATAGTGAATTCAGGCACGCACTATTATTGTTTTTAATATACTCTTTTCATGACCTGTTTTCAATCCCTTCCTCTATGTAAACTGGCACAGAAGGCACACAGGCTCCTAAATTAACAAATGTATTTTTAAGTAAAATGAGGGCAAGAGGGCAAGTTTATTTAGATGTTCTGCCCTTCCCTGCGCCAACTCACATTTCACAATGTCTAAGTGACGGCAAAGTGTTCGAGCCCAATTCCACGAACTCCCTCCCAGTGGGGGCCTGCTTTGCTTTTAATATACATTTCCTTTATACCAACATAAGAACATTTCAAAGTACCAAAATCCCTAAACATGCTAAATGAGCGGATGGGAGGACAGGGCATACGGGAAAATTCAAACGAGGCCTTTAGGAGTGACTGTGATCTCATGCCCACTCCGCCGGCAGGGCGGGAGAGAGGGTGGCTGAGGCCTAGCCCCTCACGCAAGCGCTCCCAGTCACGCGGGAAAGCAGTTAGCGCTGCACTGCGCAGCCATAAATTAAATGCCACGTGGAACCCACAGAAAGGGGAGACCCAGGTGGTTTGCAGCTGTACAAGAAAGAATCCATAGCTAATATTTGAGCTAGGTTTTGAAAGATAAGAAAAATGTGAAGATAGAGAAAAGTAGGACGGCATCTTCTACACAGAGTAAGTAGAAGAAATGCCACGAGCTTAATTAACGCAGACACAAAGGCAAAGATCTTACACTGATTTCTGAGGGAAGTCATGCTACATGAGGTATTTTAGCAACTATCAGAGTTCTTATTTTAGAAACGAGGAAGGTGACGATCAAAAAGTTCAAATAAATTGTTCAAGGCAAGTCACACAATGAACAAGAAGCTGAACTAGTTTGCCCCCAAGTCTACGGTCCAAGCCACACTCCTTCCAAACCTAGACGCCTCTCCCCAGGGAGGTACAGAGGATCCTTTGGATGTTGTCAGAGCATTAATTACCAGCCAGCCCAAAGAGAGAGAGATGCCCGTCTTGCTGTGATAAAAGACTGTACTGGTACATCTTACTGAATATTTTGCTTATGAAGTCTGTCTTATGTTACCAGATACCCCTTCCTTTTTATTCCTCAGACTAACATTTCCTTGATATTAAATGCTGAAAGTCAAAAGGTATTAGAAATATTATGATAAAAAATGACCAAGCAAACTCCTAACTTAAAAAATGTATGGGCTTTTGAAAGAAAGCTACCATTCGAATTTGAGGTAATTCAACAAATAACCAAAACTCAAGCATAGAAGTTTAAAGCATCCCACTCAACAAGCCTTCCTTCCTTCCTTCCTTCCTTCCTTCCTTCCTTCCTTCCTTCCTTCCTTCCTCCCTCCCTCCCTCCCTCCCTCC